ACTGTGGTTGGAGCCGAAGTAAAACATGTGGCACGGGGTCACTGGGGCTGGAGCCGAAGTAAAACACTTGTGCAAAATTTAAAATGGATAAAAGTGAGCAAGAGTGTTGAAATGGGCGTAAGTGGGCCCGTCTGAGTAGTTTGACAAAGAAGCGGTATGCGACGTGACAGTTGTCCTTTGAATGACGTGCGTAATAAATGCCGCTGTAAAAAGATAATTGTAACAACCTAATGGGTAGATGTAAAAAACGAACCGTCAAGTTCAAAACGGTACCGTTTGGGGTTAACCGTCGAATTCGAAAAGGTATCTTTGCAGCCGTTAGATGGGGTTAATCACAGCCGTTGAGGGGTAGTTTGCCTTTGGTATAAAAGGCTAGACTTTTGTAAAAAGGGGTTTTTACTTTCTCGATTTTACTTCCAAATTCTTGCTAAAGCTCTGTGGTTTCGTGCGGTCTACGCTTTGTTTGAAGCTTCAACAACAATTTCCTAAGACCGAAATCAGGTAATGTTTATGAATTTTTTATTTTGATTTTGTCGAAGTGCTATTCTCCTTTCTCCCTTTTTGTGTTTGATTTTAGGGTTTTTGAAGGAAATTAGGGTTGGGAGTGAGAATGTATTGAGTGTGTGAGAATTTTTAAGGGTCCTGACTCTGTTCCTCCTCCTACTTTATGCAGAAATTGAGGAGATGTCTTTAGAAGGGACCATGAGTGTAGTGGGGAGTGAGGTGATGCCCTTGGATTATAGGAGCATGGATTTAGAGAGCAGTCCGTCTCCAACTAGTTCGGAGAGGACGGTGGAGGAGAGGAGGGATGAAAGAGTAATAGAGGAGGAGGAAGATGAGATCCCCTCGAACATTTTGGAGGTTGGGAGTAGGGTATATGGGTGCTATGACCCGGACTTAGAGGTAGTTGCTGAGGTGAGGGGGTATGTGAGCGAATTAGGTAGTAGGAGTAGTCTTAGGGGCTGGTAAGGAACTGTAAACTTCCTCATCATGTCCTAATTAGGCCTGCCGGGGTGAATGAGAGGGCATGCTCAGCACCCCGAGACCATTGGATGCCCTTATACGTCCATTATTTGATTGCAGGGCTTAGGTTTCCTATTCCAAAATTACTGGTTGGGCTATTATTAGATTACAGTATAGGAATAACCCAATTGACCCCAAATGCCATAAGGGTAATAATAGACTTTTTTGTATACTGCCGAGCTCGGGGGGTTGGGGTTCCCACATTAAATATGTTTAAGCATTTTTTTATAATAAAGGCTGGGGGTAGAGGGGAGAAGGGGTGCTACTACTTCGGCCCTCGGTCGTCCAGTAAAGGGAATAGGAGTTTATTCTCCTCTGGACTGTCATCCATCAAAGGATGGAAAGAAAAATTTTTCTTTATGGATGACACCGAGTGGAGTAGGGGGGATGCCGAAGTAGAGCAATTGTCTGCTTGGAAAGCTAAGAAGACCAAGCAGAACAATTATAAGTTGAATAAGGATGAGGTGGAGGAGGTTGAGAAGCTAGTGAGGGAGGAGGGAGACGTGGTAAATATCATGTGCCTCACCAGTCCAGGGGCAATAAAGGCTGCAGAGCTCTATGGGCCAAGCTCATTGAGCGAAGGTTTGTTTGTTTGCGCTCTGTATAGCTTACTTGAAACTGCAGTTAGTGTGTTTTAACACTTATTTTTATTTTGCAGCTAAAATGGACAGTTTTATAAATGCTGCTGGAGGACTGGCTATCCCAAAGAAGCCAAGGAAGAAGTCAAAGACTTCAATTGCGGCAGAAAAGGGGGTGGCAAATAGGGAGAGACTGTCCAGCACCTCTGCCCGAGCTTTGGAGGTGCAGCCAAGGCCGGAGCCGGTGATGGGGAGCAGTGAGGAGGCGAGCGAGGAGGTGGCACCACTCTAGAGGAAGAAAAGGAAGGTGGCAGAAACAGAGGTTAGGAGGTATGAGGTGGTTGAATTCGTCCCTCGGCCTTCACCACTTGAAATTGATCCGGAGCTCAGGGAGAAGGAAGAGGCTGTGGTACGAGGTCCTGGCAAGGGCAAGGAGCTCATCCCTCCACCTTCATACTAGAAGAGTTTGTTCGAGGCAACGAACACGATCGGAGCTAAACGATTCCTCAACGCCACGCTTCCTGAGGTGGATAGGAGGCAAGCGAGGCAAGAGGCGATGAGCCACTTGGGTGCCCGCGTTGTAAGGCACACCTTGGAGGTATGTAGAGAAGTTATGGTTTATTCATGTTTTGCCTTGAACTTTATGACCTTTGCCTTTGAGTTCTGACCTCTGTTTACATTGCAGAGTGCGAGCTGGGTCAATGCTCTTGCGCAGGAGTATGTGGAGAGCATAAGAGATTGTGCCAGCTGGCAGAGGCAATGTGAGGCCCTGCTAAAAGAAAAAGAGGAGTTGCAGAAGGAAAAGGAGGAGCTGCAGAAAAGGAACAATGATATGCAGAGGAGACTGGACGAAGTGCTGCCATCAGTAATCGAGCTCTAGAGCGATAATGATGTCTTGAGCACGAAACTTGTTCTCGAAGAACGCCAGAGGAGGATTTTTGAAGAGAAACTTGAAGCTCAAGACAAGTATATAGAGAACATGAAGAAAGGAGCAGCGGAGCTGAAGAAGAACGTGAATCTACTGGTTCACAATGGGATGGAGGAGTACATTGGCCGTTTCCTCAACTCCAGCGTCTTCGAGAACGTCATCAACCTCTATCGGCTGCCGACTGCGATCGTGGCCTTCATCGACTGTACAAAGAAGGTAAAGGCCCAGAACCCAAAGGTGGACGTGACGACAGTCACTTGTGGGGAACAAGAAGAAGGGGTGGAAGAGGATGGTGAGAGCCTCTCTGCTGACTTCCGACCTCTGATCAAGCTGAGGTGGGAATGTGATGCAGAGGGGCGTACTATCTTCCCTCCAACCTTTGATGCGGAGCTTGTGGTAGTGGAGGAAGAAGAAGAAGAAGAAGAAGCGGAAGGTGCTGGAGTGGAGAATGAGGTAGATCTGGCCGAAGTTCAACCTCCTGTAGCTCATCCAGTCTCCTTTGATGAAGTGCAGCAACTAGCTCCTCCTGAAGCGGAAGTGCTGCCTCTACCGGCTAAAGATGAGCCACCTCCACCACCTTTTCTTGCTGAGGAGCAGCCTCCTCCGTCAGCAGATTAGATTAGGATTTTATTTTTGTGTGATAGTTGTAATGAACACTTTTGTACTTGAGATCTTATTACTTTAAAAAATTTTGAAGTATTTTTAATATCCAGTGTCTGATGTCCATTTAGTATTTTTGATAGTTGTTGTGTTTCAAGTGAGTCACTTCATATAAAAGGAATGGACTTGAAATAGCGAACTGACCTCAGACATAATAAAATGAATAGCAAGGGCAGTGACTTCGGATATACAGGAGACGTACCTCAAATATAGAGATAAGAAAAGATGAAGTAAATCACTTCAACTGAGTCACTTTAGATATGAAGTGAGATTCATTAATAAGGTAAATAAATTCAGCTCGGATACACATTGATCAGAAAGAAGAAATAATGATGCTTATGAAAATAAGACAAAATTCACTGGAAAGAAATGTATTAAGGGTAGAACTTCTTCAAATTATTGGCATTCTAGACTCTAGGAACCCTTTTGCCCTTAGTGCCTTGTAGGACATAAGCACCTGGGTGGGGCACTTTGGCTACAGTGTAGGGACCTTCCTAGTTTGGCGCTAACTTTCCAAATCGAGTTTCATACCCCGTTAGACCAGCTTTCCTGAGAACTAGGTCTCCTACTTTGAAAGTTCGGGGTTGAACTCGTTTGTTGTAGAAGTTTGCTATTTTCTGCTTGTAGACTAGAGTTCGAAGTCGTGCTTCTTCTTTGACTTCATCAAGCAGATCAAGGTTCTCCCGAAGTAGTTGTCCATTTCGTCCTTCATCGAAATGTGTGACCCTGAAGCTTGGGACTCCTATCTCGATAGGAATGACTGCTTCGGTACCAAAGGCCAGATGGTAGGGTGTTTCACCTATTTCAATTAATTATAACTTTAGAGTGCACTTTACGCGTTATGCATATTTGCTCTAAGGTAAAGCCGTAGCAGAAGGAGAAAAACAATGTAAAGTTAATTAAATAGACCAGGTCGAAAGTAATACATGTGGCAGTTCGGCTCGTGGTTCTGTATGTCCAGAGGACGTTGTTGAGCTCGTCTGCCCATTTGGCCTTATGCTGTTCCAATCTCGGCTTTATACCTTTTAAGATACATTTGTTAACAGATTCGACCATGCCATTGGACTCCGGATGGTAAACCGAGGTGAATTGCAGTTTGATCCCGTAGCTGGAACAGAAATCCCAGAATGAGGAGCAATTGAATTGAGTTCCGTTGTCAGCTACGATTTGGCTTGGGATCTCATATCTGCAAATAATCGAGATGAAAACAAAGTCTTCGACCTTCTTGGTGGTAAGATTGGATAGTGCCCGAGCTTCAACCCATTTTGTGAAATAATCCACACCAACGATGAGATGGGTTACACCTCCTACCCCCCTCATAAATGGACCTAAAAGGTCAAGACCCAACTGAGCAAATGGCCGAGGTGCTACCAGAGTAGTGAGTTCTTCTGCAAGCTGGTGGATTAGATGTGTGAAGAACTGACATTTCTGACACCTTCGTATGAACTGGATGGCATCCTTATACATGTTGGGCCAATAATAACCTTGTCTAAGGACTTTATGGGCCAAAGTTCGAGCACCTATGTGACTTCCGTAGACACCTTCATGCACCTCCCGAAGTGCGTATTCAGCCTCGTAAGGGGTTAGGCAGCGGAGCAAAGGGAGTGAGAAAGATCTCTTGTAGAGGACACCATTAACAAACCATTAACAAGGGTGTACCAAGATGCTTTCTTTCTCAACCTCATCTCTTCCTGTTTATCCGCAGGCGCTGTTCCATCTTGTAGATACAAGATAATTGGATCTGTCCAACTTGATGAGCTAGGATCTGTGTTGACCTCCATCATTCGTGGCTTCAAGAAGCTAGGCTCGTCCAAAATTTCTACAAAGACCGATCTGGAGCTTTGGTTGCCATCAGAAGCAAACTTGGAGAGGGAGTCTGCTTGCTCATTCTCAACTCGAGGTATTTTGCTTAAATGGAATTTCTAGAATTTGGATTTTAGTTCGGCCACCAGAGTTGCATACTTCATCATAACAGGATCAACCACTTTACAGACTGAATTAACCTGATTGACTACTAACTGTGGTTCACTGTATATTTGTATTGCTTCAACCTTCAATTCTGTCGCCAGCTGTAGGCCGAGTAGCAGGGCTTCGTATTCAGCCATATTGTTGGTGGCATCAAAGTTAAATTTTAGAACGTGTTCGCTTCGGTACCCATCTGGGCCAAGTAGGATTGCACCGGCGCCAGAACCTTTGTTACTTGATGTGCCATCAACATACAGAATCCAGCTGTCCACCTCGGATTGGGAATCAGAGTGAGCCGAGGTGCATTCTACTATGAAATCGGCGAGAGCCTAAGCTCGGATAGCTGACCTTCGTTGAAATGTGATCTCGAACTCTCCCAATTCAACTGCCCATTTGATCAATCTCCTCGAACATTCTGGCTTCTGCAAGATTTGTCTAAGCGGTTGGTTTGTGAGGACTATGATTGGGTGTTATTGGAAATACGATCTCAGTTTCCTGACCGAAATGACAACTGCTAAGGCTGCTTTCTCAGCAATGGAATATCTGATCTCAGCTCTATGTAACATGCTACTGATGTAGTAAACTGGTTTCTGTTGCTTTCCCTCTTCCCTTACTAACACAGAACTGATAGCCTCATCTGATATCCCGAGGTACAAGTAAAGGATTTCTCCATCATCAGCTTTTGTCAGCAAGGGAGGTGAGCAAAGATAAGACTTCAGCTCATCAAATGCAGCTTGACATTCTGAATTCCATGCAAACTTCTTTTGTTTGCCAGATTCATCCTTTTGAGCTGCTAATCTCACGATCTTGAAGAACGGTAAGCATTTATCTGCTGATTTTGAAATGAATCTATGAAGAGCTGCTACTCTCCCCGTCAACCTTTGCATATCTTTCACTGACTTTGGTGGTTCCATCTCGACTACTGCTTTGATTTTCTCAGGGTTGTCCTCAATCCCCCTTCTGGACACCATGAAGCTTAGAAATTTTCCTGACTCTACCCCGAAAATACACTTTGCTAGATTTAACCTCATTCTGTTCTTTTTGAGGTTGTTGAACGTCTCCTCGATGTCGATTAAGTGATCTCCAGCTTTCAAACTTTTCATCACTATATCATCAACATATACCTCTAGATTCTGACCTATTTGAGCTCGGAATACGATGGTAACCATTTTCTGGTAAGTGGTACCTACGTTCTTCAAGCCGAATGGCATCATTACATAGCAATAGATTTCATCGCCAGCATAGAATGAGATTTTATCTACATCCTCATGAGTCATTGGAACTTGGTGGTAGCCAGAGTATGCATCCAAGAGACTTAATCTCTCGTTTCCAGAAGCTGGCTCAACTAGCTTGTCAATGTTTGGCATTGGGTAACAGTCTTTTGGACATGCGTCGTTGAGGTTAGTGTAATCGATGCACATCCGCCATTTGCCATTTGCTTTCTTCACCAACACAAGATTGGCGACCCATTCACAGTAATCGACCCATCTAACGAAGCCAACTTGTAAGAGTTTTTCAACTTCTTCTTTGATGACCGTTAATCGCTCTCCCCTGAAGAGGCGTCGCTTCTGAGCTACTGGTTTCTTGAGTGGATTGGTGCTGAGTTTATGTTGATAAACCAAAGTGGGAATTCTCGACATATCTGCTGAGATCCATGCAAAAACATCGTTGTTTTCTCGGAGAAAGGCTATTAGCTTTGTTCTCTCATTGGGGCTCAGCCGAGTTCCTATCTGTGTTTTCCTGGTCGGATCTCTGTCATCTGTACTTCTTCCACATCTTCGATTGGAGCAGCTCTGGTTTCATCTTCTGGTCGGTTATCTACTATTTCAACACCCATAACTTACCGATTATCAAGAATCCGTTTGGGATTAGCCTTGGTTGTCTGATCTTTACCCTTTTGAGGTTGTGTGACCGAGGTGATATAGCAATGTCGGGCCACCTCCTCGTTGCCTCGCAACGTTGCTATTCCCATAAGAGTTGGGAATTTCATGCATAGGTGAGACTAGGAAACCATAGCCCGGATTTCAGTCAGTGTGGGTCGGCCAATAACGACGTTGAAAGAGGATGTCATCTTGACTACTAAAAACCTAAATGAAGGGGTCACATAACTTTGGCCACTTCCGAATGCAACATTCATGGTGAGGACTCCTTCAACTGGAACTGGTTGGTTGTTGAATCCGTAGATGGAACCATCATATCGCTGCAACAAGGCTGGATCTAACCCAAGGCTCTCAAAACAATGGAAGTACATGATGTCTGGTGCTCTCCCTGTGTCAACAAGGACACGCTGCACCTCTCAATTGTTAATCGTGACAGAAGTAACTAGGGGGTCATTGTGAGGTGTGACGATTGTATCGAGATCAGCAGATGTGAAGGTAATGGGTTGATTCTTCCACTTAGCATCGTCAAGCTTTCGCTTTTGAACTCGGTTCTGATGCTTAACCTCTCTGACATACAACTTTCGCTGCTTAGAGCTCAGTCCACCGGCTTCTAGGCCTCCCGTGATCATGTGTATGATTCTAGCAGGTGGTGGAAGCGGACGTGAGGTTTGCTGATATCCCACACCTTGCCGGTTTGGCGGGTTACGGACTCCTTGAGGTTGTGGCCCTTGTTTTCTGACAAACCGTGGCTGTTCAGCTCTTTGAATGTACTCATTTAACAGTCCCTTCTGGGCAAGACTTTCCAGTTCGGACCTCAAGCTGTTGCATTGCTCTGTTGTATGATCGTGGTCTTGATGAAAATCACAATATCTAGCATGATCTCGGCTAACAGCAGTAGTTCTCATTGGACCTGGACGCCTTAAGTCCATCTTATTTTTAATTTGCATAAAGATTTGTGACCTCGGTAAATTAAAAGGAGTTCAAGTAACTGGAGGTTTACTTGTAGGTTGTTGTGGAGGTGCTGAGTTCGGCCTTCCGAATCTCAGGGTTGAAGTCGGCATCGGACCTCGGTTCTGTGTTGTCTTCATCCGTTTCCTGTTCGGATTCTCATCTCTCCAGTCCAGGTGTTGGTTCTTAATAGGAGTTGGGTTCTGCAACATGACATATTCCTCAGCAGTGATGAATTTCAGTGATGAATTTCAGTGATCTATCATTTACCTCGTTGAAAGTGGTGGTAGGATGTTTAAGCAGGCTATCCCTGAATCTCTCATGGCTAAGACCTGAGATCACAGTTGTAATTCCCACAGCCTGGTCGAAGGAGTTAACCTCTAGTACTGCATCATTGAATCTGCTTATAAAATTCTTCAAAGACTCTCCGTCCCTCTACCTAACTCGCATTAGCTCAGAAGTAGTTTTACTGAAAAACTTTATGGCAAAAGCAGATGCCATTTCTGTATAAGAGTTGATTGACTTCAGAGGTAGACTATAGTACCAGGTTCGAGCATTACCTCGAAGAGTAGAGGGAAAGATTTTGCACATCAACGCATCAGAGGCGTTCTGGGCTTGCATGCAAGAGTAGAAAGCATGGCGATGATCATCGGGGTCTTTCGTCCCATCATAAGTTTCGAGTAGTGGTATCCTGAAGCCAGCGGGGTAGGGTTCCAATGTAATGTTGGTGTTCAAAGGATGAGGTATGAAGTCAGCAGCATGGTGTGGAGGTGGGACACCTCACTGTTCAGCCACTAGCTTTTCTAAACTGTCTAAACGTCGAGTGACATCATCATGAAAGGGTTGCTGAACTGGTGCGATGTGAGATTGGCCTTGAGATTCACTAATAGCAGGAGCGTGTTGAACTGGCTCAGGATTTTGTTGTAGAGCTGAGGGTTGTGGAGCAGGATTAAGTAGGTTGATGAGTGGATCACCAGGATTGTTCCGGGCTAATAGCTGAGCCAGCACTAGCTGAAAGACACCAAACTGCTGTTGCATGGCAGCGAGTTGAGTTGCAACTACATCTTGGTTAGCAGTAGAGGCTGAGTTGTGAGCCGAATTGTGTGGCTGATTTTCATCTCCTCCTTCTGCATGGTCAACATGAGGGAATGTATGCGGGATTGGGGGCAAGGGATGAGGTGGGAGGTTGTTGGGGACCTGACCCCGTCCGAGAGGCTGAGATGAGTTTCCACCTCGAACTGACCTAGTTCTAACCATGATAAGAGCAACAAGGGAGCTTTCAGTTCGGATCCCCACTGACGGCGCCAAATGTAACTGCACCAAACCAGAAATCTTTCAGTCCACGTCTTCACTTCGGATGAACCTGCAAAGCCTCGAGGTAGGTCCTCGGGGTAGACACTTCGATGCTTAAGTCAGCAATAATTGGAGCTACCTTTAGAGCAGAAGAAAAAAGAGCTTAGGGTAGGTTTCAATCACCTTTTTTACGTGGCCCTTGAGGGGTATTTATAGGTTCCAATGAGGAACCCACGTGACATGCCAAGCAAGATACTCGGGATCTGATGTGTATCTCTAGACAGTTATTTCAGGACCGAGAAATTGAGCCAAGCAAGATATTCGGGATCTGATGTGTATCTCTATACGGTTATTTTGGGACCGAAAAATTGAGAGATATTTAGATGCGAACATGTTCATCATAACTGCTATGCAGCTGTTCGAGCAGGAAGCTCTGGATTTATTCTTTATTTCGGTTGTAAAAGAATTACTGTCGTACGTTTGAGGTTGGGTACCTTGGACCTGCCCTTACAACTTTAAATTTTATTTTCCCAAAATCATTATCGTCCTCATGAATTGAATCGCATCCTCATCTTTCGACACCATTTCGAGTATCAAATTTCCTCCGCTGCTTTCTTTTGAGTGTTGACAAAATATACGAAATTAATGGGTCCATTAATTTCCTCTCCTGCTTTTTCGATAAAGACTAAAAAAAAAAAAATTCCTCCCCTGCTTTTCGAAAAAGAGCAATTAAATTTTACAATAAATGAAAAAAGATTTAAAAAGGGAAGAATATTCTTATTGTATAACATTTTATTAGATATATAAAAATGAATTTCACATTTCCCACAAGGTTACTCTGCCGTTTATGATTGATAGTGAAATTCCTTGTGGAATCTGCAATTCCAGAGAACAACATTCCGACTCAATAATTACTTTGCAAATATAATTACTTTTGTGAAGCTATCCATCTCAACACTCAACAGAATAATCAATTAAACCTAAGATATGGTCTAAGCTAATCGACAAAACATTGTCAGACAATATACTCTTCCAATTGATAAAAGATGTAGGAACTTTGGCAAAATGTGATTCAACTAACTTTACTAGAGGTGGTTGAACTAGAATTTACCCAGATTTGAAACACTTTTGGATGTAATTTATTCAGAAAAGAAGAAAGCAAAAAAATAATGATGCAACAACTATATTTCAGCCAAGAAACAAAGCCCAAAAGTTAGGAAGTCATTGAATCTGAAACAGTTTTAAGAGAGATCAATTGGCTCACCACACAGTTGCTCCAATTCAGCCTCCAAAAGTGTCAATAAATTTGCCTTGGTACGCCGGTACACCCAAGCTTGAGCATTATGATCCCAATCAAATCTGGATGGGCCACTGCACAGGAAAAATAACACATTAAAAGATGTCCAAAATAAAAAGGATAAATCTTAGTTGATAAAATCTTCAACGACCAAACTAGCCATGGTAGAAATTTGAATAAAAGGCACATGACTATGCGTTAAACAAAAGCTATGCAAGTGAAGCATCATTGCCAGCTAAAGTCACAAACTGCAATCTCACAAAAATACTATTAATAAAAATTTCAGCATCTATAAGCGGTAAAAGATCAGTCTCTCAGGAAGAATTATAGACTCAAGAGTTCAAAGTAATTTAGGTGCCTACATTAAAAAATAAGATTATATTATATAAAAAAAAGAAAATCCACATTTTTTCTTAAATAGTCCCATATGCCCTTAGCCTAAGGAACGGCAAGAACATTTGTCTCTCTTTCATTTCAAAGATCTTGAATCTCAAACCAGCCCCAACCCTTTGCTGTTTTCAATCTAATCCCACATTTAGATGTTCAGAGAAATGACACAGATTGAGACTTGGTTCTTCTGATGAGCACGAGTAAATTACAATCAGAAGGGACCAGCAAAACTACAAAGAATCACGGTTCTAAATTCCAGCCAGAATATTCCTGATGAAACTAATTCAGGAAGACATAACAAACCTAAACTTTGTTTAAGTCAGTCTGATAGGATAATCACCAATTAGGCTATTGTTACCATTGAGAAAATTCACCGTGTATGATCTGGATACTTGACAGTATCATTAACTTAATAGAGAACAAGAATTTGAGTGTGGCAAAAATTATGGAGAGCAGAGTTACAAATGATGGTAGTCATATACTAATATTTATTTGCTTCTTCAAGGAGCAATAATCGGAGTAGGCCATGTAGGAAAAAGAGAATAAGAACAGCCTAAAAATATCAACAAAGGATCAATGTTGATCCTTTTACAACTTGAAAAATATAAAAAATTACAAACCCCAGATCCTCCCATACCTAGTGAGAAAAGAAAAAGCAAATAACTAAAAATGTGTAAGGTTAAAAACATACTATAAGACATGTAAGTTACAGTGTATTCCATGTGCCTCTCTAACTATTAGAAATTCTGATTCTCAAAAGGACATGATATTTGCTTTCATTCAAATAAACATTAAATTCAGATTATAAGATTGGAGAAACTCCATGGAACTTCCAATAAATGCCTATACCATCATAACCAGTAATTTCCTTAGCAGGAGTCATAATATTAAACAATAAATCAATCATATCATGTTAGTTTTGGTGGCTAAAGTTAGACAAACAACTTAGAAGACAAAAAAGCCCCCATAAAATTGATTAACAGGAACAAATTAGCAACTTTTATCTTTTAAGTTTCAATAGATCTATAAGATTCTTTCCGAACATACAAATAGATTGATGACTCTGCAGCATGCAAATTCAAATAATTATAAATTTCTCGGAAACTCTACTCATTGATAAGATTTCTAGTTAAGGGCAAACAGTGACAGATGGAAAAACCTGACCCTTTAAACAACTTGTGCCATTCTGGAACACATCAAGCATCCAAGCCTTGGTTCTAAAATTGATTTAGGATATAAACATATTTCTCATCAACTCTGTGACCTAGCTATTTCATCATTTCAAGAAATATATAAAGACAATAAGCAACACAGTAAGGTCCTACATGATTTAACCACGATTCTGGGTAAATTGACCATCAACAGAAACCTACGCGCTAAATTTGAACAATTTGTTCCAGTCATTAACTCTTACTTTATCCTGCATAGATTTGTAGTCTTGGACAAACAAAATTTGAAATTCCTAAACCTGGTAAAAAGTCGACCCTAACATTCGGCTTGCCTTTCTTATACCAATGGAAATTAATTGAGCAAAGAACAAATAAATGTCAGCAATACCACTGATGGGGCAAACTGGTGGCAACCCCCAAAGGTTTACAAAAGGCGAGCCAAAGTTGACTCTAAAGCCCATGCTTCAGTTTGGCACATGGCCAATGATGAGAAGCTTAGTTGGGAGCTTAATAAGTGTTTTACTAGTAGTAGTCTTTTTTTATTATTATTTTTAAAAATTATTTAATTTTTGTTGGGTCCTAGTTGTTAGAACTTCTAAATAAGAGTTCTGTTAGGAGTTTTTGTAGTTCTCATATATATATATATATATATATATACATGCTTGTAGTTTCTTTAGACATTTAGTTAATAATATTTAGATTTTTCCAGCAGTTTTGCTCTTGATTGTGTGAACCAATCCTGATTGCATGAAGCAATGTACCTTAGGAGTGATTCCTAATGGTGCCTAGGTGTGATACCTAGTGTTCTTTCTTCTTCCCTCTCTTCTAAACTAAATTCCTAACCTTCTTTTTACTGTTCACGCATACTATTCATAGCCTAAACTACATTCAAATAAGTCCTGAATTCTCAAGCCCACCATATCACTAACCTATCCCACATCAGTTGGTATCAAAGCAAAGATCCTACAACTTCGTTGTTGAATTTTCTTCCTAAAATATGGTGTCAAACGCTGAACTAAATTCACAAGTTACAAGGCTGAATTCTGATGTGGAGTAAATCCATGTCTTGATTAATAAACAACAACAACAAATGGATACCCTTGAAACTGAACGTGATTCCAAAATAGAGGAGATGATGACAAAGAAATCAGATAGTGTCCAAGCAGAAATGCTCCAAGTAACAGCAGCACCTAAGAATGGGATAGGTCAAAGAGGGGCACAAGATACAGCAGGTTACATTACCAAGAAAATAAAGATTGAAGTTCCAGATTTTGAAGGAAGGATTGATCCTAGTGTGTTTTCTGATTGGATTAATTCAATGGAGGAATATTTCAACTGGTATGACATAGCAGATCCTTGAAGAGTTAGATTTGCTAAAATGAAACTTGCTGGGTTAGCCAAAATATGGTGGCAAGGTGTTGAGAGTGATTTAACTCAACTAGGACAACCACCAACAACTAATTGGCCAAAGATGAAAGCAAAATTAAGAGAAACGTATACGCCACAAAACTATCTAGAAAAGATGCATGATAAGGTTTATAGTTTGAGGCAAGGAAACATGACAGTAGCAAAATATATGCAAAGTTTTAATGAACTAAAAATTCAGAGTCAAGTCGTTGAGGATGCTGCACAAGCTGCATCTCGATTTAGAGCTGGTCTAAGAGCTGAAATTAAAAATGAATTCCTTAGAGAGCCTATTTATAATGTTGAAGATGTATTCCAAGCAGCTCTCAATGCAGAAGAATATATAAACAGTCAAAATGGTAAGAGAATTGGATTCCAAACCAAGGAAGCAGCAGCAAGAAAGAATTATGATGCAAAACATGCTATGCAATCACAGGCTATAAGTACCTTTAACAAACAAAGCCCTTATGTTGGAAAAGGAAAAGTCTGTACTATGCATAACGAGGGGAGTAAGGGTGCAACCCGTTTTAAGTGTGATGAAGATGGTCATATGAGCTATCAATGTCCAAGAAAAAATAACCTTTGTAAGGAAGAAGTAGAACATGAGGAAGAATATCAAGATGAGGAAACTTAAGAAAATTCATTTGGTTATGGAGCCTACATGGCTGATGATCTTGTAGATGATGAGGAGGAAGACATGTCCTTTTTGTCAGTTGTTAGGCATATTTTGGCAGCACCTAAGGTTGAGGAAGAAGATTAGCAACAAACCTCAATATTCCAAACTTTGGTTTGCTGTGGTGATCAAGCAAAAAAGCTCATTGTCGATAGTGGAAGTTGCATGAATGTTGTATCAACGTCAACGGTGGAGCATCTTAAACTCTCTACAAAACCTAACCCTCAACCATACAAAGTAGTTTGGATTAATAACACAACAATTCCAGTCGAGAAATCTTGGTTTAATGAACTGGAACTTCTTGATCTTGCTCCTGCTCTCCTTGAAGAATATTTGGCTTCTCCCTCTCCGGAGTCATGTTCTTTTCAACCAGGGGAGAATGATCGCACACAGCCTAAAGAGTGCAAGTCCTTTAAGCACTGTTATTTTGTAGGAAATTTAAGAAATAGTTTAGCAGTTGGACTTATTTAGTACTTTTATTAATTTTAGAAACTTTATTATTTTTTTCATATTTAATTTGAACCTAGGGTTTTGGGCCTAGGGTTTGTTCCCTATAAATATTCTTGTTCATTTGTCCTCAAACACAAGGCTGGAATAGAAAACAAGGCAGCAGATGCTCTCAACCGAGTAGCTTTAGTTCTTACTTCTATCTATGGCTATTCAAGTAGTTGGTTTTGAAGTCATAAAGGAAGAATATTCATCTTGCAAGGATTTCAGCATAATAGATGCTGATCTCCAAGCTGGACAGCATGCCAATTACCCAGATTTCAATTTACATGATGGTTATCTATTCAAAGGAACTTGTCTTTGTCTTCCAAGTACATCCCTATGTGATGAAGTAATTTGAGAGTTACATTTAGGCAGAGCAGCAGGACATTTTGGAAAAAATAAGACAATTGTTATGATAGAAGATCGATTCTATTGGCCAAGTTTAAAGAGGGACATAAGTAGAGTTGTAGCCTGGTGTAGGATTCATCAAATATACAAGAGAAAAAGGAAAAATATAAGTTTATATACTCATCTACCTATTCCACATAAGCCTTGGGACGACCTAAGTACGGATTTTGTTCTTGGGTTACCTAAAACACTGAAGGGAAATGACTCAATTTTTGTGGTGGTTGATTGTTAAACAAAAATGGCCCATTTTGTACCCTGTTTGAAGACATACGATGCTGTCCATATTGCTAAACTTTTTTTCCAAGAAATTGTTCACCTACATGGGTTACCTAAGACAATTGTCTTAGATAGGCATGTGAAGTTTATCAGTTATTTCCGGTGCTCTTTGTGGAAAATGTTTGGCGCAAAGCTGAAATTTTCAACCTCTTTTCATTCACAAACAAACAGATAAATTGAGGTTGTCAATAGAAGCTCCTTCATTGTTGTATTGGAACTCATGTTAAAACTTGGGACCAAATTCTCCCAATGGTTGAATTTGCTTATAACAGTTCTGTTAACAGAAGTATAGGTTGCAACCCATTTGAAATTGTGACAAGAATACTTCCTCGAAAACCAATCGATTTGATCCCATTACTAGTGGGAAGCCATTAGTGTGGAAGCAAACAATTTTGCTAAACACATTCATGAAATTCATGATGACATTCGAAGGAAGATTGCTACTAGCAATGAGAGTTACAAAGCACATGATGACATAAAAAGAAAGCAAGCTGAATTCATGCAAGGAGATATGGTTATCGTAAGAATCAGACCTGAGAGATATCCCAGGAGATCACATAAGAAGCTTCATTCAAGGTGTGCTGGTCCTCACAAGATTATCAAGAAAATTTGCTCAAATGCTTATGTTCTTGATCTACTTGATGATATGAGCATCGGTAATGTCCTTAATGTTGAAGACTTGACATTCTACAATGGACATGATGATAACACCTCAAACATAACCAGTGCAAATCTTCCTTTCAGCCCACCCACAAAGGAAGAAATTGAAGATGTTATTGATCATAACATAGTTTCAACTAGAGAAAGTGGTTATCAAAGGTTTCTTGTCAAGTGGAAAACACATTCACTTTTTGATTGCATATGGATTACAAAAGAGGAATTTCAACAATTAAATCCAATCCTCTATGACGAATTCCATGCTTCTAACTTGACAGGGTCAAGTTTCTTCAAGCCAAGGAGAGATCATGGGGCATGCTGGCAGCAACCCCCAAAAGGTTTACAAAAGGCGAGCCAAAGTGATGCAGGAGCATAGAGCTCTTTTTAATGATTAGTTTTAGGGCTGTTTGTTTTGCATTAAGTTTGAGTTTTATTTGAAATCTAAGTTGTAATTTTAGGAAAGTGATTTTTAATTAGGGTTAGAATTGTTAGTAGCCTATTAGAAGTTCAATGCTTATTAAAAGTTCAAATTAGAATTGAATTAGGGTTCTTAGCTATTGTTAGTATATATAGTTATTCTTCTTAGGTTTCAAGAACAGTTTTTGCTATGAGATTTTAGTTTGAGAATAAGCTTGAGGTTGAAAACCTAAGTTTTCTTGGTTCCATCTTTAATTTTACGGAGTTCTTAGTTTCTGTTTGTTCTACCCCCACATTCCCTGCATCACAAAGTTGGCTCTAAAGTCCATGCTTTAGTTTGGCACATGGCCAATGATGAGAAGCTTAGTTGGGAGCTTAATTAAGTTTTTTACTAGTAGTTTCTTTATTATTATTTTTAAAAGTTATTTAATTTTTGTCAAGTCCTAGTTGGATCAGAACTTCTAAATAACAGTTTTGTTAGGACTTTTAGTAGTTCTCATATACATATATACATGTTTGTGGTTTCTTTAGACATTTAGTTAATAATATTCAGATTCTTCTAGCAAGTTTTGCTTTTGATTGTGTGAAGCAATCTACCTTAGAAGTGATTCCTGAGAGTGCCTCGGTGTGATTCCTAGGGTTCTTTATTCTTCCCTCTGCTCTAAACTAAATTCCTAACCTTCTTTTTACTGTTCACGCACAGTATTCATAGCCCAAACTACCTTCAAATAAGTCTTGAATTCTCAAACCCACCATATCACTAAGAATTCTTCCCTCTCTTCTAAACCAAATTCCTAACCTTCTTTTTACTGTTTACGCACACTATTCATAGCCTAAACTACCTTCAAATAAGTCCTGAATTCTCAAGCCCACCATATCACTAACCTGCCCCGCATCAACTACATTCCAGATTCTGTGTTACCTCAAATGCTAACGTGAAGATGGTGAACTTTATTTATAGATATGCCCAACTTTTCCACACTTAGTTCAAAGTAATAAACAAACACGGCTTCATGGGAAAAATTGATTCACGACCAGTTTTAGAAAAGCACAAATATACACATAATCCCCTTGTGTCTAGACTCTTCTTCAAGACAGCCACTATCAAATAATATGAAATGAAATGCCATTTTTACCTCACTGGGGAAGACAACCATATTTGTCGATTTGGTGTTTGTTTATTCAACACATAGGTGCCTGAAGCTCCCAATTTAAGGGTCAAGACCTCATTCTGCACAATGCAAACCAAGTTAAGACATTGCAAAAGGATTTTAAGCCAACTATTAAAATCTACCAATGAACTCATACCCCATAATCTACATCAAAACCATCAATTTGGACAGTGTCACCATATTCCTGCAAAGCACCCAAGTAAAATATACATAAATAAGCGTGCATACATGTAAAGGAACTAAAATTAGTGCAAAGCTTCTTAATTTAGAACACTCCATCAATTCCATACAAATCACCAACATTCTTAACAAGACAAAATTAAAGTTTTTGGAGATATGATTACCTCAAATTTCTCTAACAGGTGGTGGATGGAGGAATTAGCTAACCTGTGAAATTCATCCTCCTGCAGAACCGAACTGGATCCACATTAATCATTAGAAAATTCTTCAACCATTATTTTCAATCAAACCAGTAGAAAATAAAAACAAAACTATTAACAAAAATTAAGCAACCGCAACTGACACACTTCATTTTCTGTCAAAATAATCAAATTTCGAAAAATTACTCAGAAAAAAAGAGGCTACTACCGATAATCGATGGCGGCGGGGCCCTGGGAGTCGCCATCGAGATTGAGAGAGGGGCGGGAGCAGAAGCTTCTAGAAGAAGCGGTCGATGGAGGAGACGAGCAAGTGGTATGCTTGAGAGGTATAGAAGCTTCTAGAAGAAGAGCACAAGAGGCACGTAGCGTTTGAACGGATGAAGAAGGCGCCAGTTTGAGATATCTGGAGAGCCTTCTGAGAAAAAGCAACCTGGAAGCCATTAACAGCCAGCAAATGGCGGTCGGTGGTATACTGGTACTGTCAGTCAAACTATATAAAATGCCTTTCAGAAACATTAACATCGACTTTCAATAGGAAAACTGCCAAATAAGCCCTGAGCATTTTCAATTTGACATATAAGCCCTACAGTTTTCTTGTTGGCAAACTTTGAGTCATCAAAATTTAGGTTAATGCCAACTATTCGTCCCTCTATTATTAAAAAAGTTTAATTTAAACCTTCTACTATCAATTTACCTCATATCCCCCTCCACTTGTTGACGATTACTTAAGATTCAAAATTTAAAAAGGACAAAAAAATAAAATAAATAATGAAAAATTAAGTGTGAAAAATATAAAAGAATGGAGTCGTCACTCTCCAAATTATAAAATGAGATAAATTACCTAAAATAGGTATGCGTATAGATTAAGATTTGGAGTTTGATTAAGAGTAAGAGAGAACACATGTGTACCTCACAATCCTCTATTTAAATACGATTGTATATTTTAATATTGGGGTTTTAATTTAACTCATTTATTATATATTTGTTTAGGTTTTAATAGGCAAACTTAAAAAAAGATAAACCAAATTGCAATGTTTTTAAAGTTTTGGACTAAAATGAATAAAATCAAAAACATACATGCACAATGAGCACAAATAAAATTAAATGGACTGATTTGATTAAATTCAAAGACATGAAAGACTGATTTGAAAAGATTTGAAACTTTTGGCCTAAATTGCTTAATCTTGAAAGTTTTGGGTGAAATTGAAATAAAAAGAAGATAATTTTGACTTTTGACTAAGATTAAAGAAAATAGAGAATTGAAATTAATTAATGATGATAATTAATTTAATTGTGATAATTAATTTAATTGAATGATTAATTTAACATTAATTAAAATTAATTAATCATATTTATTAAAATTTAATCTAGAATAATTAAATAAATCTAATTATCTAAAATTAAGCCCAATTAATATGATAAATTTATTTTAATTAAAATTAATTAATTTTATTAATTATGGATTTATCTAATTACCCTAATCAATTAATCATTTTATTTATATATTTTATTTTATCCCTTCGTCCTTTTAGTTTCTTTCTTTCCTTCTTAAAAATTCTTTTTTATTGGATTGGGCCGGATCTACTCTACCTGACCCAAAAACACAAACAATCTAGCAAAACATACAAGAAACATATCTAACATTAAAAAAAAAAAAAATGAAATCTGAATTTAAGGTTCATCTCATTTCCAACAAAAGGAATACATTCATCCAACACATAAACAAAACAATCCTTAATATTTTCATTTATTTTCCAGCAAAACGTATACAGGTTTCACATCATATCTTAAAAACATCAACAAAAAATGAAAACAAACAAACATGGTAGATTTTTAAAGTAAAACACAAGTTTGGATTTGATAGAAGGGATAGTGATACCAGTAAACAGAATTTAAAGGAATACAAGGAAAATCCACAAAAGAGAAAGGATCTTCGATATATATCCTTTGCAATATAGTCTAGAATACAAGAGAATTACAGAGGAATTTAAGAAGATTGAAGAACACCAAAATAACTGAACACCCAACAAAGAGATACAAACACTTTTATACTAGCATATGCCATTTGTCACTAAACTGACACAAACCAACAGTAACTAACAAATCAAATAAACACAGGTGACTTCTAAGACTTCTAACCATTAGTTTTTCCACATATCAGAGCCCACCCACGGGATCAAGCTCCCATCATCTCCTTCACCATTTTCCTAAAAAAAACCTATGTTCCAAAAATTACCTAAGAGAGATAAACCCAAAAAATGTACCCTATTTGACAATCCCCTTGGAAACCCAACGATCCTTCTCTTCTTTAGCCGCAATTGCCCTAAAAGCAACCCTTTTTCTCGACTCCAAACCCCCCCCCCCAAAAAAAACTCTCCTTAAACCTATTTATATGGCTAGAAACCCTAAATCCTAAGCACACACCTGGGCTTTTAAGATCTGTTGATTTGGGCCTCTCCAATCCTTTACCTTCTTTAATCAAAAATGCATTTGGGCCTTAAATCTACATCAATATCAGTCACCCCATCCGTGATCTATGATAACATAGATCTGACTTGCAGATTTGTTAGAGTTGAAGGGAGATCAAGATTTTGTTGAATCGCCAAAGCTTCGCGTGAACAACACCTCCATTGCTAAGCACTAGATCTGACTCTATTCTTTCCTATTTTGTTGCTCACTCGCCGGTGTGGTTGATGCTGGACTACGAGAATGGTTTGGAAGGTACAAAATGATGGTTCCAATAAATTGATTGAAACTAGGGGGCTTTGGCATGGAAGGAGAAAGAAAGGCCATGATAGGAAAAAGAGCAGGAAGATGAAGATGATTGTCGGTGTAGAGAGGTGAAAGATGGTTGTTGGCTGTTTTTGAAGGAAAGAACCTCTAGGGTGTTGGAAATAAGCCCAACATTCAGCCTAGGCCATGTATAATAGGCCTAGTCATTCATCCCTGAGCCTCAAAATGAAGATGCATCTCTACATAGTCTAGACACACACATGTGGGTGCTTATACGTGGACTAATCGGATGCTTACATGTATGGACTCATGTCAACACTAGGGGGCTATAAATACCCCCACCTACCTCCATTCAAGGTAATAACTCTACTATACTTCTCTCTCTGCAATTACTCTTGAGAGCCTCCCTCTCTAGAATATTGACTATTGCTAACTTGAGCGTCAGAGTGTTTTCCTCAAGGAAGCATCCTTGGGTTTTTCAGGTGTTGAATTAGTTGAAGATCTCTACAGTATAGGTTCGTAAAGCTGCCTAAACATTTGGTGCCGTCTGTGGGAATTTGAACAAAAAGTGGTGTAGCTTAACTAGCTGAAGTTAAAGATGGTACGTACCTTTATTGGGAACCGCCCTCCAAGAGACGACATGGATGACCAGGGTAATACTTAGCCTTTGGAGAGTGATCTAAATGACTTTCGGTCAATGTTGAGAAATCTTTTTGTTGGGGGAGCAGAACAAAAACAGTTGAATAGCTCAAATGATGAACGAACACATACTGGGTATGCAACCCAGCCTGCAGAACAGTTTAAGATTCCAGCAGAAACAAGGTGAAGGCATACCAAACAAAATGCTTCACGGCGTGAGAAACCCATGGAATCTGCTTTGACGACTGAGCTAGAAGACAGAACTAGAGTTTTAGAAATGGCTATAGGAAGAATCCTCTCCCGTTTGATCCCTAATGACCCCCTAATTCCTTTGCCAAATAAGGGTGAGCAGTCAACAGTAGAAGTTGTAACCCGCAACTCCCTCGCCTTGAGCAACATGGTGGTTCCAACCAAACCAAGGGGAAGTGGGAAATCAAATCATGAGCCCAGCATGTCAAAGCACAGTGAGGAGTTGATGAAGAAAAATGCAGAACTTGAAAAGCAACTTAAAGATGTACAGAGGTCTGTTGACGAGCTGAAGAGTTCGAGGTTGCGTCAGCAAGCCTTGGATTTAGATAGCCCTTCCTTTAACTTATCCATTACTACAGAACCATATCAGAATGGATTCAAGATTCCTCACTTAGAAACATATGATGGTTCTAACAACCCAGACGAACACTTATACACCTATCAAGCCATCATGAAAATTTAGAACACTACTGATGTAACGATGTGCAAAGTGTTCCTTACAGTGTTGAAGTCGACTGCTAGAAAATGGTATCACAAGCTCTCCAGGCACTCCATAGCTTCCTATTCCCAGCTTGCTGCTTTGTTCTTTAACAAATTTGCAAGCCAACAAGAGATAAAACGAACTACTACCAAGCTGATGCAAGTTCACCAAAGGGAAGGAAAGTCCTTAAGAGACTATATATAGAGGTTTAATAAGCCCACTTTAGACATTGACAATGTCCCAAATACCATTTGTTTATCTACCTTGCTACATGGCCTTAGACCTGGCCGATTCTTAGATGACTTGCTAGAAAATCCATCGAAGCCGTGGAACAAGGTGAACAATAGGTTGGTAAGTTTCATCTTGTCCGAGGACTTTCAATCATCTAAACGATTCGTTGATGACAAGTAGAGTAAATAACAAAGACAACTAGAAGGGAAGAATGACAAGAAAAAATAGAAAATAGTCGACTAAAGAGGAAAACCACCTAATTTTCCAAAGTATGCCAATTATATCCCTCTGAGCTCATCAAGATCTCAAATCTTGGCGCAGATACAGCACTGGGCCAAAAGGCCACCCTCTTCCCTCCATGATTCTTCTCAAGCAGATGAAAGTAAATATTGTGATTACCATCAGGGATATGGCCATTACACGGACGACTGCCAGAGCCTGAAGGACAAATTAGAATTTCTAGCTTGGAATGGGAAGCTAGAAGAAAACATCTAGAAATCCTACACATAGCAACCTAGTCAAACCCATTACGTACAGGATTATGGACGACCTCAAGGGCAAGGGTACCAAGTTGGTAGTAATTAGAATTCGTACCAAGGGAACCAATACCCTTCTGAGCTTGGCAGAGCATATAGAGGATGCCAATCCAATAGAAGAGGACAAGGGTAGAAGACTTCAGTCTAAAACCAAAAAGACAATAGATGGATAGGATACACCGAAATACCTCCACCTTCAGGCACGATAAATATGATTTCCGATGGTATGCACTTAGAAGGCTAGAGTGCCTGTGGTCGTAAGGCTTACGCTCGTCCAGTGATAATGGTAAATAAAAATAAACCCCTAAAAAGACCATTTAAAGAGGCTAAGTGAGAGAATGCACCAATCACGTTTAGTTCAGCAGATTACAAAAGGTCAGAGGGAGAACCTGACATTATCATGTGTCATGCTGATCCATTCGTGGCCACCATCCACATAGGCAACCACAATGTTAACAAAGTCTTCATTGATACAGGCAGCTCTCCAGACATCTTGTATTAGAGTTGTTTCCAGAAGAAGCAACTGAATGCAGCCTTGTTTAAGAAATATGAAGGGCCTACATATGGGTTTGGCAATCAACTCGTCCCTATTGAAGGGATCATCTTTTCCCATCTATGTGGACGCCAAGCCGTGGTTTAGGATGGCATCGATGAGCTTCTTGGTGGTCAAGATGGAATCGGCCTCTAACGCCATAATAGGAAGGGTTACTTTTTGTGAATCGAAGGTTGTCATTTCCCAACCACATCTGTGTATAAAGTTCCTAACTCCCCATGGGATAGGAGTGCTTAAGGGAAACCAGAAGATGGCCAGCGCATGCTATCAGGATACATTCAAGAAGGTCAAGCTCGCAGTGGCACCTAATACCACAACCTCTTAGGTTTTCCAAGCCAAGTCAACCAGCCCTGCAAACGATGAGCATTTCTGACATAGATCACCGACCTGAGAATGTAGAATAGAAAGCCAAGCCGGTAGAGTCAATGAAGACTGTTCCTTTGAACCTTGACGAACCAGAAAGGACTATAAAAATTGGAACTAAGCTCACACAGGAAAAAAGAACTGAGCTTTTGGAATTTCTAAAGTCCAACCAGAATGTTTTTGTGTGGACAACAAATGAAATGCTTGGAATTCCAACAGAATTTGCAGTCAACAAGCTCTACATAGATCCTACAAGGAAGCTGATGGTTAAGAAACGATGGCTCTTTAGCCCTGAAAAACAAGCTGTTATAGATGCAGAAATACAAAAACTATTATAGGTAGGTTTCATCAGGTAGGTTGAATATTCGCAATGGGTGTCCAATCTTGTGCTTGTCAAAAGGCCTAACGGCAAATGGAGGATGTGCATTGATTTTATGAACCTGAATGAGGCATGTCCCAAAAACCCACACCTTTTGCCTAATGTTGAAAAGTTGGTGAAACGGGCAGCTAGTCATGAACACATGAGCTTTATGGATGCTAGTTCGGGATACCATCAAGTTCAGCTATAGTTGGACGATCAAGAGAAAACGACATTTTATGTGGGGGACGCCATCTACTGTTATGTCATGATGCCGTTTGGGTTGAAGAATGCTAGTGCAACATATCAAAAGTTAGTTTAGGTCATATTTAAGCTTTAGATTGATAGAAATATCGAAGTTTATGTTGATGATATGATTGCCACCAGTGCACAATTTGAAGATCATATTGACGATCTCAATGAAACATTTCAAAACTTACGCTGAGCACAAATGAAGCTAAACCTTTTGAAGTGTACATTTATTGTGGAATCAACCATATGTGGTATCCAAGAAAGGAATTGAGGTGAATCTGGAAAAAGTTCAAGCCGTGCATGAAATGGAACCTCCTAAGACAATAAAAGATGTGTAGTGTTTGATAGGTCATCTCGCTGCTTTACACAAGTTTATCACTAGGTCAACAGAAAAATGTCTTCCATTTTTCAAAGCCTTGAAAGAGCCCAAAAACTTCTAGTGGATTGACGAATGCTAGCAAGCTTTTGATGAACTCAAACAATACTTGTCATCACCACCTTTACTCTCTAAATTTATTGAGAGAAAGAAGTTATATCTGTACATGGGAATTACAGATGAAGTAGTCAGCTTGATTTTGCTAAGAGGACAAGATCAACACCAGAAACCCAGTTGTTATATAAGCAAGGTTCTACAAGGTGTAGAAAGGAACTACCCAATTGTTGAAAAGGCCATTGTTGCCCTTGTTTGCACTGCTCAAAAGTTAAGAGCCTACTTCCAATCTCATCAGATTATTGTTTTCACCGACCTACCATTGAGGAAGATATTATAGAAACCTAAGCTTTTTGGGCGAGTAATTGGGTGGGCTGTCGAGCTGAGCGAGTACGATCTCAAATTCGAGCCACGTACAACTATAAAAGGTCAAGCTTTGGCAGACTTTCTAGTCGAATGTCACCTAGTGACGGTGGAAGAAACCAAGCCCTTGCACCCTGTATGGACGCTGTACGTAAATGGAGCTGCAAGCGTTGAAGGATCAGGGGCAGAAGCAGTGTTAATAGGCCTATATGGTTTTAAATCCGAGCATGCATTGAGATTTAAATTTCAGATGACCAATAATATTGTTGAATACGAAGCACTCATTTACAGTATGAAATTGGTATCCGAGCTGAAAGCATAGAGCATAAGAGTCTTTAATGATTCCCAGCTTGTAGTAAACTAAGTGAATGGAAGCTGTGATATCAAAGATTCTCAGCTCAATCATTATGCCTCTATGGTTAACAGGTTGAAATCAGGCTTTGTTTTGTTTTAGATTGACAAGATATCAAAGGTAAACAATAAGCGAGCTGATGAATTGTCAAAGCTGGCCTCATCACAAGATGTTAATCCCCAAAGGACAACATTCATTGAGATACTTGATGCCCCGAGCTATGCCAACCCCAGTACTAAATGTCAAGTATTAAGCACAGATCCCTCATTGCCGAGTTATACAACACCCCTAATTAATTATTAAAGAAATGACGAATTGTCTGAAGACTCTTTTGATGCTAAACTGATCAGGCACAAGGCTACCCATTTCATCTTAATCGATGATCAGTTATATAAACGAGTAGCGTCAATGCCCCTATTATGTTGCCTCACTCCTTATGAAGTTAGTATGCTCTAAGAGAAGTCCATGAAGGAGTGTGTGGCACACACATAGATGGTAAAACATTGGCTCGGAAACTTCTAAAGCATGGATATTACTGGCCTATTATGGCAGAAGATGCATAAGATTATGTCAAAAAATGTCCAACCTGCTAGTTTAATGCTGACAACATTCACATGCTAGGTACCCAAGCTTGTCTAGAAATTTATCCATAAATTTCATGTTTGTCTCTAAGTTAAACATGAATACCTCTTTTGATATAGGAGAAATGTTGTCACCACTCTCGTTGCCTTGGCCCTTTGCCCAATAGGGAATGGATTTGCTCAGTCCCTTCGTTAAGGGTAAAGGAGGTTGTACGCATTTGATCATTGCTGTAGATTACTTTACCAAGTGGATAGAAACTAAGCCATTATCCACAGTGACTGAAAGGAAGATAGAAGAGTTTTTATTCAATTCCATATTATGCAGGTATTCTTTAGTTGGTTAAATCATATACATTGCATCCACACATATTGTGTGGCTCAGCCAATTCGTTTATGTGTAGGTTCGGTATTTCCAAATGAATCATTGCTGATAACAGTCCTCAATTCTAAGCTTCGACGCTCAGGTCATTCTATGATGATTACGATATTGAACTCTCACTTACGTTTGTTTACACTCCTCGATCAAATGGACAAGTAAAATTAGTTAATAAAATTGTCTTGCATAGACTTAAGACACGCGTCCTAGCTACACACTCCAATTGGGTTGACGAGCTCAATAAAGTACAATGGTCGTGCCATACCACACCCAATTTGACCACAAGCGAGATCTCATTCTCCCTTACATATGGAGCTAAAGCTATAATACATGTGGAGATCGGCCTATTTCCTAATGGTTCCACTTAGTGTAATGATCGGGATAACAAGCAACTCTTAACAAAAAATTTAGACTTTATAGAAAAGGTCAGGGAAACATCAAGGATGAAAAAATGGCTTATCAAGGTCGTGTTGCTAGAACTACAATAAAAGGGTACGAGCTTGTTAGTTTCAAATCAACGACCTGGTTTTATGTAAGGCCGGCCTCACCAATGCTTATTCATAAATGGGCAAGCTCGTACCTAATTGGGAAGGCCCTTACATTGTTATTAATGTTAAATGACTTGGATCTTACTTGTTAGCAGATTCACAAGGTCGTCAATTACTATTTACTTGGAATGTACATAACCTCAGGAAATACTATAGCTAGCCTATAGTCATCTACCATATTTGAGAATTGCAAACTGTATGTAAAACTCAATGAATATAGATAAATTATAAAATCATCTCCCAAATTGTATTTCATTCCAAAAAATTGTGTATTGAAGTATAAGGGATAATGATAAAGTCATTAAAAAAAGGGTTAATTGACCAACAAAAAAATACAAAAGAAAAAATAAACCTAAAACTAATCATCCGTTAAATCCATGGGGACCGAGGCATCAGCGCGAGCTGGAGAAAAACGTACTGAAGTGATAATGGGCTGAGAGTTCGAGGAGTGGCAGAAGGTTTAGCTTATAGCTTAGGCACTCCAGCCACCCAAGTGTCATAGCTAGGCAGGCTCTCTACGTCTTCCCCGTCTTCAACAATGGATGAGGCCATATAGGCACTCCATCCTCATTCAACTCCCATCTTAGCCACATAGTAGTGTCAGCTGACGGGGCGAGGCTCTTGCCTTGTTCATCAATCTCCTCTCCTTCGAAAAAGGCCAGCTCATCAATAGGAAAGTCAGGTTAGTGCTATAATACCTTTTCAAGAATCTCATCGTAGATTTGCCTCATGGTGTTCATGGAAGCAACGGCCACGGCATCTTGGAACATATCAGAGCCAACCAGCCACCCTGCTCCCTAAGCTTAGGCAATGCTTATAGAATGCTGATAAGACTTCTTTACTGAGTTCAAACTTTCTTCAGTATGAGCAAGACTTTTGTTTGCTACAGCTACCCGTTATCTCAGGGAATTCAACTCGTCCAGAGTGGTGTTCGTCCTTGCCTCTATCTTCGTGGCATGTTCCTTAGCACAACCGACCTCATCCTTGCCCACTAGAATGCCATTCTCCTTCTCAGCCTGAGCCCTTTCTAGCTCTTCCTTTAGCTCATTAACTTTATTAGTCAACTCGTCGGCTCAGCTCTCAACGAATGCTGCTCTGTTAGCCATTTCAAAGCTCTGTAGGCGGTTGACCTCATCCTCTAAACTAGCCTTTTCAAAAGTTAGCTGCTTGCAGCTTTCAGTGAGTTCCCAAGTTTGCCTGTGTGCTCCCTGCTCACACTCAAACAGTGCGACTACATAGCTAAACACCTGCCACACAATTCTTATGGTTAGTTTCTAACATAAGCTTTAAAACATATGAGTGGTTAACAAAAATACTCACATCCATCAGTTTTAACATGGCGGCATGACTACCATTCTGTTAAATGTAGCCTTTGGCATGCTGTCGATTCATCGAGGGAACAAAACTTAGCATACCCTGAACCATGGCAACTTTGCTATCAGTTCTTGTATAACTAAAGCCTTCGGGGTATGCAATCCTCGGGCCTAAGGCAGATGCAGACATAGGTAGTGCCTTACCAACATCACGTGCGGAGGCAAGAGGCACGTTAAATGAATGTACTGCGGTGGGTAGAACGAGCTGAGCCCCAAAGCTCGTTCTCTGCCTAATTAGTGGCATGTCATCCTCTGCATTCGAGCCATCATGAGCACGCCTTCTAGAATTTGAAGGCGGAATGTCAACTCTTTGCTTGACACGAGGCCTGGATGCCAAGCTTGAACCTCGTTCCTGTTGTGACGAGCTACGAGATGGCGCAACAAGTGGTCATTTGTCAAAACAGGTTGACTTATGTGAGCTGCCCTTTCCCCATCGATCTCATGAGTGTTGAGCTCGTTCACGTTGCCTCTCCAAAATGCTACTCATTTTGCCTGTATAAACAAATGCAATAAGACTCAGATCAGCTAGAAATTACAATTTACAATAGAATTATACCTTCAGTATATAGGTTTGCCACATCAACAAACCCAAACACTATGAGCTGCTCCGAGGTAATCAGGGACTTTAAATCCACTAATCCTTCCGCCTTCACATAATCCAACAATTGATTTTTTAGATCCACATCATGAGGCGTCAGTTGGGGATAGTTCATATATGTATTGGCAATGCACCATTCAAAGATGTGAGCAGCGAGTTCATTATTCATCTTCTCTATTCGCGTGTCATGAACGAAAATGAATTGCCTCTTCCACCTTGCTACTTTATTCCTTATGTTTTTAAAGAGCATCATCTTCTCTCTTCCGGAGATATAATAACACCTCGTTTGGTTGCTACTCAACCAACATTGGAACAACAACCTGAAGACTTTCACCTTCGCAAGTATTTCAAACCTAGCACATAACAGCATAAACCCTATAATAAACTTTATGCTGTTGGGGGTCAACTGTGTTAGTGTTAGCTTGTACTTTGCCAGAACATCAAAAATTAGCTCGGGCAGAGGAAAACGTAGACTACCGTCAAAATGGTCTACATATATTGGTACCCATCCAGTTCCAGACACTGAACATTCCCATTTGTTTCTCGTGCCAATTTGTAATAAGATTGTCTTAGGGATGTGGTATTGCTTCACCATCTCCTCCAATTTCTTATACCCCTTAATAGTACTTGTGCCATATGCTACTTCATGGTGAAGTGCCACTCTGAACCTAAATCTGGCAGGCAAATTCTGTGGTGCTTTACATATATTGTCCAACCTGCCATTGATAGTTTTATTCTCCCACCCTTCAAAAATTGGCACATTCACCTCCATATCTGTCATCTAGGGATTGCCGGTACCTTCCATCTCATTCCCCTTGTCGTTGGGTGTTCTTTTTGAAGATGAACTATTAGAAGGAGAAGAATGGTGACCACTGGAGTCACCATCCGCACTTGAACTGGCGTTGCTCTCCGGCATAATGGTTTCCAGCAAATCTCGTAGCTTCGACGGCACTATCATGGCTATAGGCTCCACTGACATAACACCCTTTTCCTCTTCCCTACCCTGGTTAACCCAAAGTTCTCTAAGTTCTCTAAAAAATTCCATTGTTTACCTGAAAAGTTCAAACATAAATTCTTTTGGTATTTGTGGGTTTAGAGCTTCGCTTCAAAAGCTTTAGGGTCCTTTGCTATAGGAAATCACAGAGAATATTGTGAAAGAGAAACACCAAAAAAGTTATGCGATCATTCCCTTGATTAGTGTACGTTTTTTTCTGACACACCAATTAAAATACCACACGTGGCAACTATTTATGGTCTGGCGGGTAATGTCTGCTGGCTTTAGCTATCACATCTCTTCAAATGCTAAGCCAGCATTTATTGCAGGGAGGGCAGAGGGATACCAATCATTTTGAACCATATCTCTTTAGAGATTTGTTATGTTTTAAATTTTGAAAATGTTTAAGGTTTAGATCATTACAAATTTACTCTTAAATGAGATCATCTCATGTTAGCTCATTTCTACAATTAAGTAAATAAGCCCAATCGTATATCCTTAGAGATCCGCTCCATTCTAGAATTTTTTAAAGATTACCTGTTCAAGGTCGTCATGCATTTGCTCATTTTCACATTAACGCAGACCAGCTCACCACGTGCCACTTCGTATGTGGCACACATCTCACCAAGAAGCTGCTTAGAAGTATAAAAATGTATCATACGATCTCGCCTATTACAAGCTAATTGAGCTCGCCAATGCTATGAATTCACACTAGTAAAATGGCTATAACACCAAGTCAACCGTTCTTAGACGAGCGCATAAGCTCGCTATATCCATGGATACCTGATTTAGACTCAAGTAGATGAGGTCGTTCTAAGTTCAGGTCACTCAGCTCGGCTGTTAACCAAGTCATATGCAAAATCAAAGTATCATACACCCCGTTCTCAAGGTTGAATCCTGGGCTACAAATACAATTACCTTAGTTCGTCAACCGAACGTTGGGGGGGGAGGAATAATGTTGGGAATAGGCCTAACATTCAGCCTAGGCCATGTATAATAGGCCTAGTCATTCATCCCTGAGCCCCAAAATGAAGGTGCATCTATACACTAGTCTAGACACACCCACGTGGGTGCTTATATGTGGACCAATCGGATGCTTACATGTATGGACTCATGTCAACATTGGAGGGCTATAAATACCCCCACCTACCTCCATTCAAGGTAATAACTCCACTATGCTTCTCTTCTACAATTACTCTTGAGAGCCTCCCTCTCTAGAATATTGATATTGCTAACTTGAGC